GGTCGGCGGTGTCATCTTGTAGGCCTAGCAGAGAGTTATTTCTGAAACGGGTATGCCTTTTTTTTCTCAAATTACATATCATGACGGACTATATGTGTGGATAGTCCTGGTTCGAATCCCCCAAACGGCATTATTTAACTTGATATATTTGGGGTCTTTGATAGGCGGAGCAACCACTTGGGCAGCCCTGTCAGAGACTGACATCAAATTGGAAATTCCCGCTGCTCACATAATCTTACAGTGAGTAAAAGATGTCGGTGATTCATCCTCAGCAGACCACGATTTCTGAAGCGACAAAAGAGGGATTCAACAGCTCTAGGGCAAAGAAACACTGTCTTTTTCGTAAATCGTCATGAAAGTACAACAAAGCTCTCAATTCTGTTCTCTATTTATTATTCTAAAGTACCAACCGGACTTAAAACCCTAACCCCCTCCCCCCCCCAAAAAAAACCCACAAAAAACCCCCCAAAAAACAACAACAACAAACCAACAACCCTCAACCCAGCAACAACCAACTAAACAAAAAACAAAACAAACAAACAAACAAACACGAACTGCTGAACGTCGCAGCACACCTCCCATAGTCCCCCTAAACCTAAAGTACCATTGCCACAACACCCGATGTCCAGTCCAACCAGGTGACAACACCGAGAAGAATAAAGAAGAAAACAGAGCGATAACACAGCATTCTCCAGCGGGCAGCCAGTCTGTCGGAAAACTTCACAATCCCTCGTACGCTGGCAGCTTTAATCCAGCCACGGACAAAGGACTTGAAGGACGATTCTAAAAGTCCAGCTGGCAAGGCTGTTTTGGTCTCCCTGTGCTGATAACCGTGTAGCCGAGAAAAATGTCTGTGGACACCTAAGGCCGACCCATCCCTTTCTCCCACGTTTGTCTAGGGAGTAATGGCCAGTTTCAGAAAAGAGTGTTCCGCCTCAGGAGAATTATTGAGTGAGCACTCATGAATGCTCCGGGACGAGTCCCCCTCCTCTATCCACTCAGCGTTGTACCTGGGGCTACATTTCGATAAGCCAGCGTCATGAGCTTTAAACGTCTCCACACTATTAAAAACCCTTATCTTATACCCAGTGTCTTCTTCGGGGGACAAGGAAATTTATCATTCATACAATAACGCGTCTGTAAGGTCGCATAGGTCGGGGAAGAAAGCAGGCCAAAAGGTGTCGCCAAATTGAGTCCACGAACTCAATAGCAGGGATTCGAAGATGATACCTCTGCTCAATCACCACACACCAGTTATTGTATCGTGTGGTCTGACACGATGACGCCTAATGTATTTGGAAGACATGTGTGGGAGACGTACGTCTATTTTTGGATGTCAAAAACAGTGCTTATTATTGTACAATTGTACATCACTATCGTTCTTTCCCAGG